CTGTTTTAAATGGGTCTCACTTAGACACGATTTGTCATAAATATTTGATTCTTTTATTTTGAAAAGCAGAAGACGAGTGTGTTTGTTTTTGGTTTTGTTGGTTTTCATTTGGCCCATCTTGTGTAACATTTTAAGCTGAAACACATGTAGTGAAATGAGAGTTGCCGTAGCTCCGACCCGAGGCCGATGTCTGGCTGTAGAAATGCACCGTGCTCTGTGGAACATCTCACATCTCCTCCCCCAGAGTCTGTAACAGTTGAACACGTTAGGCCGTACATGAATCGAGTTATTGTAGAAATGCCAGAGACGACTTCCGAGTGTTAAAGATTTTCAAACACTAAAAACATGCAGCTGAAAACTTCTGCATCACAGATGGTTAGCCATTCACCCGCCCTCCTCAACAGCCATTGGCTCCCAAACGTCTTTTTTTTTGATTGACACTTGTGTATAAAATCTGCAAGAATGTGTTGGATTGATTTGAATTTCCATGCATGTCCCCTCTCCTCCTGCTGGGTGCCCAGTATAACCATGTTTAGAACCAGGAACCTGTAGTACACTGAGACATACTCACACAGTCCCAGCTGAGAGGGGCCTAACTTATCACGCTGGGGAAGGAGACACTAGGCTCGAAGCTTGGATCAGCTCCTGGAGATCGTCCGAGAAACAGTAACCTAGAAGGCAGCTGGGAGAGGGCTGGCCGTCCAGGGATGTGCCGGGACATGGAAAGGGACTGCAGCGGCCAAACGACACCATGTAACAGCTATTTGATCTGGTCCCAATATTGTTTCATAATAAAGATGATGGCTTACCATTTGGCCTCCATGTTTTCCTGCTGCTGTGGGGATGTTGTTGGGACTCGATCAGTGCTGCTTAATGAGCACTTGGATTATAGAGGGACGGAGTCACTCGCACTTTGTTCCAGCATAAACTGGGATTTGGTGTTTAAAAAAACCACACCACAGGTAGTGAGCGCAGCGAGGGGAAGAACAGGCTGACAGGTAACACCGCGTCAGTCCAGAGAGCTCACTGCTGTTGGCCTGAAGAAAAGCTAAGTTATAACATTTCCAATGGACCCTTTATTTACAGCTCTGTGAATCATGGAGGCCCACAGTAGTTCTGACAGCAGCTAAACTCCATGCTATAAGCACAAACAGATAAAATTGTGCCGTACAATAGTAATGGTAGCATCTACCAACACATTATTAGATTTAGATGGTGAAAACATGAAAGACTAGAGGACTCTTAGCTGGACAATATCTGCCATTTGACCCAATATGAGAATCAAGCTGTTTTATGGCATATTAACTGTTGTTGGGTCTGTGCTTCCACAGGCCGCTGCTTTAGAGACTTATTCCCATTAACGACAAGGAAGCAAGACGAGCAGCGAGGGAGGATCTCAGAGCAGCCCTTCTGCCCTCGGTCAGACCACTTCGAAGAACCGGCCTCCGCTTGCTGCCTTTTATTGAAAACAGTTACAGTACACACAGCACCACCCATTGTAAACCCCCCCTATGGTCACAAAAGATAAGGTACTGTGTGTATGTATGCATGACCTGCTGCCCACAAAAGGGTCATGAAGGCAGGAAGTTTACTAACCTCCTAGGACCTGCGTCCACATGTGTGGACGTCACATTTTGGGTTATTTAGACCAAAATACTAAATTTTGCTCTACAAGGGCCTGATATCCACTGACGAGGACGTTACACTGCTGCTGTGCTATTGAAATTCTAAACACATGTCCTCATATGTGGCTCTCGTTTTTCTCAGAAACCAAAATCAGGTAAAAATAAATAAATAAATAAATAAATCGGGTAATTCTTTGTTTTTACATTCACCAGGTCACAATCAGCCCGAATATCAAAGAGAAATTAAAAATGCTGGTGAAGAGTTCAGGTCTCACATAGGATGAGTCTATAATAAACACTACAGCCTCCCCACCAGTCAACAGGCTGCGGAGGTCAGTAGAAACAAAAGGATGTCTTTGATCACACAGTCTGAACCAAGACTTACACATTTAAGTAACACAATGACAACATTTAACAATTTGACTCCAACAATGGTCAAGTTGGATAAATATATTCAAACCAGCACACGCTGCATCCTCTGGGTATTCAAACAGTGGAGATTTAGTGCAAATGACAATAAATCCAGCATTTTATGGCTAATATGAATATTTGGGCCTGAGACTAGTTTTTGTCTCCATGCAGCAGACTTTATACATGTAAGCATTACTACTTCTACTACAGGCAGCTCCAGGCTTTGAGATGTCCAGTAAGCAGGTCACAGTCACAATCGATGACTTGAAACTTTGATTGGATGCAAATGAAGGCGTGAAGCTGTCCTCAACAGTGCACCGCCTGCTGCACCTCACCTCTGTGCAGGTGGGGTGGCTGCAGCTCTACGGGCACAGCAGGTCTGCTAACTGGAAGGTTGGTGTTTTGATCCCTGGCTGCTCCAGTCTGCAAGCCAACGTATTAACCTCATGTTGTTCTCTGACGCATCAATCAGAGTGAATGTTAGAAACCAAGCACAGTAAAAAGTTATTGAATGGGCGAATGAGGCGCGTTGCTGCTTGTCACGGTTTATGTTTTTATCTTTGAAGTTTTTCACAGTTCTGCTGTTCCCAGTGAACTCTGCTATCGCTCCATCAGTAATGGGGCACATTAAGCTGACGTGTAAACCTACGCACACAGATCAGTATTTAAGGTTTGAATACTGAGAAAACCTTTACTGATGCCTAATGTGTCGGAACAGTTAAGACACACTTTCTTTAAACGCAGCTTCTCTGTGGCCAAAAACTGGTCCACCCCAAGGATCGGGTCAGACAGAGTAATGTAGTGCACGCTGTTAAGAGCCAGGAGGATGGTGCTCATGGCCATTGATCATTGATCAGTGTTGTTAATCAGTGATCATGACTGTTTGCCTATTAATGATCAACAAACTGACCTCCCAGCCCATTGGTCCTTCAGTGGCTGGTTTCAGTCATCGTGCAAATGTGCTGTTTATAAGATTGAAACCTGCAGTCAGCTGAGACTGAAGACGTCAGCTGATGATGATGAAACGTTTCCCCCTCTGGAAGCTTCCAGATGAACACAATCAGCCTTTAGGATCAGCGATCACTCCTTGCTCTGCTCGGGCCCACCAGTCGCTCACACCATGCACTTCCAGTGACTCTGCCAACTATCCAGCAGTATGTGGACTGTAAAACAGGACAACACAACTCTGGACCTTCTGTGAGCAAACACACAGGTGACAGAGCCACGGGCCTCCCCTATTAGGTGGATCCAACCACAGCCTGGTCCTGTTAACTCCTCAGTATGTCGCAGCAGAGGAGGTGCACTCAGTAAGCCAGCGACACCCTGCTCTAGAAACCTGCATTGGGATCATAAACCGAGAATATCTGCTTGTAATAAACCAAGAGGGTACAGAGCTGAACGTTGTGTGTTGTTAGAAATGTTTTGAGGCAAAGTGTTTCATAGTTTTCAGTCATGTGACGGATTCGCTACCCTCGTGGGAGGAGAAGCAAAGATATGAAGAGAAACTGATTTTTTGGGACCTGTGATCCATGTTCTGCTCCGGCAGGTTTATTAAGATCTCTGGAAGTGGTAAAGTCTCTCTTCCCCAGGGGGGGGAGACATAACAATGTTGCAAGCCCTGATTGCATCAGTCCCAGGGTCCTGCAGGTGAAACCTCCTCAGTTTACTCACCAGTCTTTTGTGGGGGTGGATGATGCTTTCATCTACCTGTTGTTCCAGCATTCTCACTCTCAGGTGGAAGGTGGCATTGTAAGAATCATGTTTTTTATTT